GAGACACTATAATCACCGGGATGGGACCTCTAGAAGGGAAGGTCCCGCAGATAAAGCAGGCAGGGTTTGAACTAGAGCAGGGTGATTGGGGTTAGCAGCACGAATGAGAGCCGAGAGTATATACGGGTGTAGATAATAATAAGTGTGAGAGTGAGCGAATGGTGAGGGGAAGTGTGTGTGTGTCCCACCCACACACACACTTGAGCACTTGAGCACTGGATAGGGTCGATTCCGCATGGTACGGGACCCCTCGATCGTCTCGCCCTCCCTCACTGGTGTGTTCATTGGGGGGGGTCATAACAAACACGGTACAGGATCGAGGTGCACGCTGGTACGCTGCCAGAGCAGTGCCGCCCCCCCTCTCTCCGACGGCGATGGCGGTGTGACCGATCGAGCTACAAGAGGAGCTTGTTCAGCAGGATGACGAGGTTTGCCAAGAAAAAACCCCTGACGGGAAAAGGGGGCTAACTGGGCGGCCAAATTGACACCTCGCGGGACTACTTATGTTTTCGTAAACGTAGTCGTGGCCCCCCGCTACGTCGCACGCGACCGGGTAGGGGAGCTAAAATCTCTCTCTCTCTCTCTAAGATCTCCCCTCGATCGAGCTACGGAATACTTTTGTTGGATAGGGGTGGGATTCTCCTTCGCCCTTCGGGCTCGGGCTGTGGCGTTTACCTCCACACAAGGAAGCGCCATTCACCGCACAACTGTGAACGGGGACTCGAAGATCTTCTGCGTGAACGCCCCCCGGAGTGCGAGTCGAAGGCAAAGCCAGCACTTTCCTCGTCCGCTCGCGCTTGCCGCGCCGCATTGCGCCCGACTATGCAGCCGCGAGCTGCACACCTAGACCCCCGCGACGCCTATTGCTCACGGAACCCGCCGCCCCCTCACCACCCCTACCATGCGATGCGCCCTCGCTCGCGGCGCGAGCGGCTGCACCCCCCTCGGCCTCGCACCGCCTGCCTACTCCCGCTCGCAGGTACAGCCGCTGCCATCGAGGAGGCCGCGAGACGCGTCCGCTGCTGCCCATTCCACACCCTTGTCCCGCGCGAACCCGTCCGACCGCCCTCCCTCTCTTACGCGGGTACTCGCACCGCCTGCTCGCATCTCTGCTACATCTAGAGAGTGCCAAGACTCTGTGTCCGCAGCCGCGAGGGCCACTCGAGCGCTGGCCTGCACCTCCCATCGGGGACACCACCTTCAACCGCTTCTTGACTCTCTGCAGGAATTCATTCGATCAACATGCTCAAACTCGAGTTCGTGCCGGCCGCCGGTGAGAAGCTCGTGCTCAAGCTCTCTCCTCCGCCGCCGCTTGCTGACAAGCAGGTGTGCATTAATTTGCAGTGGCTGAGGGAGGGGGTATGCACACGCGCACCGCTGCAACGCACGCAACGCTGCGCCTTCCCTGCAAGACGACCCTCTCGCGTTCTGTGGCTGACAGGCGTCTCTGGCGGACAACACGGCCGTCGTCGACTCTGACGGAGGTAACGCCGTCGGCATCCCCTCCGAGCCCGTCTCGCTCAAGGATGGCATCGGCACCGGCACCGGCGGCACCTGCACCGCCAACACCGGCACTGGCAACGTCCCGTCCGAGGGCGAGCCCGCCGGCTCGCTCGCCGGCGTCCACTTTGCGGGCGTTTCGCTCGACGCCGTGCCCGAGGCGTCCCGCTTCACCGTCGACGATCCGGCCGGCGCCAAGGCCGTCGGCATCCCGCCCGAGAGCGAGCCCAGCCCGCTCAAGGACGGCATTGACGCGGGCGGCGGCAACGTCGCGGGCGAGTCTTCGCCGATGAAGTCCTTCGCGAAGGTCGGAATCGTGCCGGCTGACGACGGCCGCGTCACGCTCGTCATCTCCGCGTCGGTGTCGCCTTCGCTCCCCGGAGCCAAGGTGCGCGTGCGCACACCAGGATTATGATCCTCTCCCGTCTCCGAAAGCCTGCGCGTACTCTCCCTCGCCCACAGGCGTGCGGCATCAAGAACGTCAACATCTCCGTGGCAAAGTCTGGCCCGGAGGGCGTCCTCAAGAAGGACCCGGCCGCGGAAAAGGCGCCCGACGCGGGCGTGGTCGACTCGGACAAGGCCAAGGCCATGTTCGCCACCCACGCCGTTTTCTGGTCCAAGTTTACGCGCCCGACCGGCCCACCGACGGCCCCCACCGGCGCCGTCGAGGGCGCCCTCAAGAAGGACATCCCTGCGGCAACGTCTGGCGCGGAGGCCTGCGTTGACGAGACCGGCGCCATCAAGAACCCGGCGCTCAAGCCGGCCACCGAGGTCGCCACGGCCCTCAAGCCGGCGGAGGCCGGCGGCGCGCCGCTGCCGTCGATCAAGGAATTTCCGGAGGAGAAGAAGCCCGCCGCCACGGCGGCGAGCGCCTGGTGCGCGCCGGCGTCTGCGACCCACTCTGTGACCCCATCCCGCGTTCGACGCGTAGGGCGACGCCGACTGGAAGGAGTTTCCAGAGGAGACGGCCGCCCCTGCGGTGAGCACCCCCCAGCAGAAGCACACGCGGGTATTGCGGGGACACGCGAGTCCTACAGGCGGGCACTTACATTGATCCTGTGACGCCCTCGCACGCTGCGGTTGTACGCGCAGAGCCTCAACTATTGACGCACCCACCGCTTGCGCGTGCGCAGGGCATCCCCGACAGGACCACGCCGTCGAACCCGCGCCGCAAGAAGGGGCGCAAGGGCGCGTCCGCCCCGATCGTCCGCACCAAGAGCATCGCCCCGGTCGGCGGCAACAACCGGTTCGGGGCCCTGCTCAAAATGGACGGCAACGAGGGCATCCTCGGCGGCACCGGCAAGGTGCCCCGCGGCTCCACGCCGTCGACCACAGACTCGGTGCTCGCCGCCTGCATACATGCGGCCTCCTCCCCCGCTCGCCGCTCAACCGCCAGTCTCCCGCCCTCCTGTTCAGGGCGCGACGGCCAACGTCGAGACGACCACGATTACCACGCCGGAGGGCTCCGTCTCTGCCTCCGGCTGGTTCTCTTGGCCCAAGTTCTGCCCCTCCTACTTGCTCCGCCTCTTTGGCATCCTCGCGCTGCTCTGCCTCGGAACCGCGTTTGCGCTCTCCTCGTACCCTGCCACCTCCGCGCTTCTCTCCTCGCAGTGGCACGAGTCCCCGACTTCCTTTCCCGCAGTCACAACGCCGATCGCGCCGGCATCGCTTAACGGCTTCTGCGAGGTTGGCGGCATCGACACCAGCTCGTTTGTGGCCATCGTATCGTCGGACAGCGCGCCCGCCAACCACCCGGTGCGTGCTCGCTCGCGCGTGCTAGTATCCGCGCCGCGCAAGCTCGTGACTAACAGCCCGCGCGCCGTTCAGGGCGGACACGAGGACGGGCGCTCGTTGGAAGCACTGATGGACGAGATCGGCGAGGCGGTGGGCGAGCCGTTGCACCTAATTGGCGAGCCGCTGGCGTCCGTCAAGGAAATTTACGAGAAGCAGCCGGTGAGCGCCCCTCTGGCTCTTTGTGTGTGCGAGCTTTGTAACCCGCTGACGGAACGATTGCCTGTGTGTTTGCGAGTAGGCCGAGGCCGACTTGGAGACCGTCCCGGCCTCGCGCAACAGCATGGAGCGCAAGGGCGAGCCTGAGTTCGACCTCGTCGGTCCCGTCTACAGCAACAGGACGGGGATCATCGCTCGGGGACGCGACACCGTCTTGCTCGTGAACGGCACGTCGCCCAAGTTGCGGCCCGCCGACGCTGGGAAGCCTGGGATGCTGGAGGTGCGGAAGCTGGTCGAGACTGGCCTCGGCGCGCCCGTCGCTAGCATGCACGCCGGCGGCGAGTGGCGGGCGATTGACGGATTGACGGACGTTTCTCGAGTGCCAACCAAGGATCTCTTCCTCCAGCTTGGCCGGGCCGTCGACCCTCTTCTCGCGGAGCCGGCGTGGCCTGAAGAGGTCCGCGCCGCTCAGATCTCCGACTCGAACGCGGTCGAGTCAGATATCTTCTCGGTCTCAAGTGCGTGCGCCGACTGGCAGCCACGCTGCGCCGCCCCTGCGTGGCACGAGGAGCCTCACCACGCGACAAGCCGCCCGCGGACCGACAAGCCGCCCGCCCCGCCAGCCGACGAACTCTCCATCGACCCCGCCTCCCCGTTCCACATTCCCTTCATCAGCGGACACTCCTCTTCCGCGCCTGGCCGCGCACAGCTGCGCGGTCAGCTTTGGGCCGCCTTGTTCTTGCTGCTCGGAGCGTGCGGCGGCGTGCTGCTCTCGGTGCGGAGGAGCAAATCGGGGCGCCTCGTGCGGTGCCGGACGGGGCACGGCGCGTGGCTGCTTCTACTCGCGATGCTTCCGCTGGCATCGCCAGTGTCACCGTCGCAGAATGCATATCTTGTTTCTGGCGACGTTCCGACGTGGCCGTTCGCTGAGGGAGACCATTGGCAGCGGAGAGACAACATCAGCACCCACAAGCAACTCAACGCCGGTCGGCGCAGGCCACACTGCCCGATCAGCATGGATCTTCTGCTCAGCACATTCATTACAAACAAGCGGAGTAGGGGAAATCGGTACAGCAGGCTGCAGGTATTTCGCCATGCGATGCGCTCATATTTTGATCTCCCCATCAATGGTTTCTACTTATTCATCCAACTCGACGAGGAGTTCAGCAGTCAAAGGCAAAACCTAGAGAACGAGCTGACTTCTTCCCTCGGCAGCCGCCTTCAGCACTTGGAATTTACACGCATATTGACACAAGCCAAATGGAAATGGCTTATGAGCTCAATCGGATCCGACAAGCACTCAGGGCGGCTTGTCTTCTTCCTTCAGAATGATGACCATGTCTTTATCGACGTCGACACTTCCCTGCTATGTCAAGGGCTTATGCTGCTACACTCAGAGCCGTCAAAGTTCAAGACCTTGTACATGTCACATTGGCCAGAGGCACTGCGTCTAACAGGCAAAGTGTCACCACCTCAGCGCATTGGGGGCTTTGTTCGTACCAACCTGACTATGGTAGACGCTGTTCAGGTGTTCAACCTGGGCTTTCTTCATCACATCTTCGTCGAGCTTGAATGGCCTCAAGGGCTGCAGGTCCGTCGAATCGATCGACTCATCATGCAACGGGCGGTGTGGGGAACATTTGCGCAATCACTTCTTCGTACGGCAGACACAGAGAACTCGTTGCAAGCCTTCTTTGTGCCGTTGCGTGAGTTGTGCCGCAAATTTGATGGTTACATGCACGTCGGAATTCCTTTTGCGAAGGTGCCCCAACTTGAGATCAACCATACGCAGCCCGTGCGGTCAGCAGATAGTCTGAAGCAGGTAATGCTCGCAGCCGAGAAGCTGCAGAACGACCCGTGGTCCCGCGGGAATAATTTTTCCGTTCCCGCTGAATGGGTGTCTGTAATGCTTGACCTATATGGTGTGCCGCGGACGACTTCAATGGACCTCTGAGTGGGAGGTTCGGCCCGGGGCCCGCCCTCCTGCGGCCAGGCTGGGTGCACCCGGTACCTGTGGGCTGGGGACAGCCAAGTAAATCGGCGTCGGACCGCGATAGGCCCGATCGCCGATGGTGGGACCATTGTTGGAGCCCGGGATATCAGGATGTGAGCAGTCTCCGGGCGTGTTTTGCGCGGTCACGTAGCTATGTCTCCACGTGGCCTGCGGCTTCTGTGAGTCAAACCACGCTTGTCAGGGATGGGTATGGCATGTGTTGCGAGGCTGGTGAGCTTTCTGGCCGTCAGATTCGGCTCTACCGTCCGGTGTGAAAGGATTGTTGGATCGGCTGGTTTATCAAGTAAATGTGAGATATGAGTTATGTCACACTTGAGCCTCTATCTATGATAGAGACCGGTACTGCTACTCGGGTTTGGATGGTAGCGGGGGGCCCCGCCGGAGGCTGGTTAGGTGGTTAGTGGTTTGTGCTTTGTGGTTACTGATTTCGGCATTAGTTCGGGATCGCGAGAAAATCTTTCGGTGTCGGCCCGACGGTCTGTTCTTGTACTGTCTGCGACAAGCAACTGCCACTAAGCTAACCGCGCTCTTATGCGCGCAGCTCACTCGCTACCATCGACACACCATCTCTAACTACAAAGGCTAACGAGCCCGTCACGCCCCTACTCAGCGACTACGAGGCCACCTCTGCCCCAACTAACCACGCCGCACGGAGCGCCTCCGCCGCCTTGGCCGCAGCAGCCTCCGAAGCTCCCGCCTCCTCCGCCGCCTCCGCCGCCTTGGCCGCCGCTGCCTCCGAAGCTCCCGCCTCCTCCGCCGCCTCCGCCGCCTTGGCAGCCGCTGCCTCCGAAGCTCCCGCCTCCTCCGCCGTCGCTTCTGGCCGGCGCCTATTTTGCCAGGGGCTCTTTTGCCGGCGATTCTTTTGCCGGCGGGCAAACTCTCCTCCGTTGAGCGTCCCGAGTCCTTCTCCGCGGGCGGTGGAGAAGGATCGTGCCAGTGGTGCAGATGGCCTGCTCGGCCGGGATGGCAGTGGCCTGATGTTGCGCACAGCGGGAGTGTCTCCATTGGCCGGTTCGTTGGCGCTTTGTGCGGCGGCTTGTCTCTCCTGGCTCGTGTGCTCGCTGTTCATGTGGGGCCGGCCAAGGCCTTTCCATCGCCGCCCTCCAAAACGTAGCCGTCTTGCTTCGAGGCGCAGCGGGCCGTTTGCCAACACTTGCGCCTGCCGTCGCTGCCCACCGGCACCCTGCACGCCAGCATCTCTGGGGAGTTTCGGCTCTGCCTGCAGATCACTTTGGCGTGGGCGGCTCGAAGAATGGCCAGCGACAACGCAACTAAGAGGCAGCAGCGGGATGACGCCATTGAAAGAACGCCGCCGCCGCCGAAGTATGGGACAGGAGTGTCCCAGGACAGTGAATGGTGTCCCAGAACACCTGTTTTCTGAACTTTGCCAAATCGAGCCGCACAGTGAAGACTTTGGGCGATGGACTTATGGAGGGACCCCCTGGCGGCTCTATTAATCTGGCTCTAATGCGCTGTGAACGTGAAGGTCTAGAAAGCGCATATACCCCCCCCCCCCCGGCAACCCCTCTAGAAAAGAGGTTCCGCACATTGGAAGGATACGTTAGATACGAACTGGGACTAAAAAGACGTGTGGCGACAGACGGGGCACGTTCGAGTGGGGTGCCTAGTTCCAGATGAACCGCGCCGCCTTCGCTGCATCATGCATTCAGACCGCACGAAAACGCCTCTGTCGACCAAAAAAAGGCTAGGGTGCGCAAAAGCAAGACTGGATGCGCCCAGGCGGATCTGGCTAGCCAGGCTGGGCCCCTCGCAAACGACCCGCGAGACACCGCTCGCGATTATAAATAAATCGGCTATCAGCAGCGACTGGCAGACCGCACGAAAACGTCTCTGCCGACCAAAATAAGGCTAGGGTGCGCAAAAGCAAGATTGGATACGCCCAGGCGGATCTGGCTAGCCAGGCTGGGCCCCTCGCAAACGACCCGCGAGACACCGCTCGCGATTATAAATAAATCGGCTATCAGCAGCGACTGGCAGACCGCACGAAAACGCCTCTGTCGACCAAAATAAGGCTAGGGTGCGCAAAAGCAAGACTGGATGCGCCCAGGCGGATCTAGCTAGCCAGGATGGGCCCCTCGCAAACGACCCGCGAGACACCGCTCGCGATTATAAATAAATCGGCTATCAGCAGCGACTGGCAGACCGCACGAAAACGCCTCTGTCGACCAAAATAAGGCTAGGGTGCGCAAAAGCAAGACTGGAGGCGCCCAGGCGGATCTGGCTAGCCAGGATGAGCCCCTCGCAAACGACCCGCGAGACACCGCTCGCGATTATAAATAAATCGGCTATCAGCAGCGACTGGCAGACCGCACGAAAACGTCTCTGCCGACCAAAATAAGGCTAGGGTGCGCAAAAGCAAGACTGCATGCGCCCAGGCGGATCTGGCTAGCCAGGATGGGCCCCTCGCAAACGACCCGCGAGACACCGCTCGCGATTATAAATAAATCGGCTATCAGCAGCGACTGGCAGACCGCACGAAAACGTCTCTGCCGACCAAAATAAGGCTAGGGTGCGCAAAAGCAAGACTGCATGCGCCCAGGCGGATCTGGCTAGCCAGGCTGGGCCCCTCGCAAACGACCCTCGAGACACCGCTCGCGATTATAAATAAATCGGCTATCAGCAGCGACTGGCAGACCGCACGAAAACGCCTATGTCGACCAAAATAAGGCTAGGGTGCGCAAAAGCAAGACTGCATGCGCCCAGGCGGATCTGGCTAGCCAGGATGAGCCCCTCGCAAATGACCCGCGAGACACCGCTCGCGATTATAAATAAATCGGCTATCAGCAGCGACTGGCAGACCGCACGAAAACGCCTCTGTCGACCAAAATAAGGCTAGGGTGCGCAAAAGCAAGACTGGATGCGCCCAGGCGGATCTGGCTAGCCAGGCTGGGCCCCTCGCAAACGACCCGCGAGACACCGCTCGCGATTATAAATAAATCGGCTATCAGCAGCGACTGGCAGACCGCACGAAAACGCCTCTGTCGACCAAAATAAGGCTAGGGTGCGCAAAAGCAAGACTGGATGCGCCCAGGCGGATCTGGCTAGCCAGGCTGGGCCCCTCGCAAACGACCCGCGAGACACCGCTCGCGATTATAAATAAATCGGCTATCAGCAGCGGCTGGCAGACCGCACAAAAACACGTTTATCAACCAAAACAAGGCTGGTTACCGCGAAAGCAAGACTGGAGGCGCCCAGGCGGATCTGGCTAGCCAGGCTGGGCCCCTTGCAAACGACCCTCGAGACACCGCTCGCGATTATAAATAAATCGGCTATCAGCAGCGACTGGCAGACCGCACGAAAACGCCTCTGTCGACCAAAATAGGTGGCTGGCGGGTGGCGGAAAAAGAAAGAAAGAAAGAAAACAGACAACCCAAGGGAGGGATGGGAGAACGGCACGCCGCCACCAGCCCCACCACACAGGGATTTTAAGGAGAGGGGTGTGGTGCGCTAGCCGTCGCCCGCCCTTGGGCGTCCGCCTCTTCCTATCTCACTTCGCAGTCTCTCGCCTATTCTCGCTGGGTGGCGGAGAGGCGGCGTTGTTGTGCGAGGCCGGATGATCGGTGTCGGGTTACGGGCTAGAGAGCCTTAGCCCCGGGGTGCATAGGAGGACAGCAAGGACGGTGGAGAGAAGGTTCCGTCGCGAGTCGGCGGCAAACACCCGTCCACAAGAGAGATGGCGCTGTCGGCGGCGCTCCTGTCGGCAGCGCTCTCGCTGGCGCCTGGGCCGGAGGGCCGGCCCAAGGCGCCTCGCCCGCTGCCGCAGAACTCGCTGCTGCCCGCCAAGCCGCTGCCGCTCCTCCCCTCGCTGCCCCCTCGGAATGGCGCCTGCGACGGGGACTTTGAGACCTTTCTCCGTGAGGAGCAGACCCGGGCGGCGACCTTCCTGGAGAGCGAGCAGACGCGGGTGGCGAGGATCTTCGAGTGGGAGCACGACCGCGCCCTGCGGTTCGAGCGGCTCGGCGAGCACGCAAACTACTGGGTGCGTCCCGTCGCTCACACAGCCCGCGCGCGGCCCACTCTGTGCCCTGCGGCCGCAACCCTCGCGGCGCGGCGGCGAGCGAGGCCCCTCCGGCGGTCCATGACTGCACCCCCCTTCCCCCTCCCCCTCCCCCTTTCCGCAGGAGGACCCGCGGATCCACAACTTTGGCAACACGGGCTGGCGGGGCTGGCTGCACGCGCTCGCCGTCCCCTTCTCGACCTTTTTGATCGACAAGCTGGCCTACGGAGGCGTCGACGCGCGCAAGCAGATCCACGAGAGCGAGCTCTCCGCCGCCGGACAGACCGTGGTCGACCTCTGCTCCGGCGTCGGATTCTCGTGCGCGCGCGCCGGCAAGGTGACCGCCGTGGACACGTCGCCGAACATGCTCGCGGTCTCGCGGCTGCGGCGGCCGGACGTGCACGAGCGGGTGGTGGCCAACGCCGAGGCGTTCGGCGAGGCGGGCAGCTTCGACGTGGCCACGCTCATGTTCGCGACGCACGAGATGCCCGGCTACGCGCGCCGCCGCTGCATCCGCAATGCTCTGCGGCTTGCGAGGGACAAGGTGCTCGTGGCCGACATCTGGCCCGGCTTCCGCCCAAACGACATGATGCTCTCCGGCGAGCCTTACGTCCTCGACTACCTCGCTAACATGGAGAGCGACGTCGAGGCGAGCTTCGACCCAATGCAGTGGACGCTGACGAGGGAGGACGTCGTCGAGCAGCACGTCCGGATGTGGAAGTTCGAGCGGCTGAGTTGGGGCGTGTAGGAGCCGCAGCCGTAGTAGCCGCAGCTGCGGGAGGGTGGAGGAGCTGCTGCCGGGCGTGCGCCGCGCCGCGCCGTAGCGCGCGCGGGGGGGCGGGGGAGGGAGGGGGGGGGGGTCTGTGCGTGACGGCGCGCGCCTGTATTGTGTATCATTGTGTGAGTCGCGCGCCGCGGAGGCCCTTGTGCAGTGGGAGAGGTGCCCACAGCTCTCGCACTGGGCGAGAGCGTGGGTAGGTGGGTTGTCATGTTGTTCGCATGCCGGGTCGGGAGCGGAGAAGGGAGGTCTCAGAGAGAGGAGAGTTTTCAGTTTGGAGAGAGTGTGCAGTGTGTCTCGCCGAAGGCGCTCTCTCGCGAGCGTCGTATATTTTTCTGTGTCTGTCGGAGCACTTGGAGTACTTGGAGTGCAGTCATTAGCCTCACATCCAGCTTCCAGCGAGGCGCCGCGCCCGCGCGCCGCGGCGCCGGGGAGCTATAAGAACAAAGAAGCGCACCCAGCGGGCCGGAACCCGGATCATCGGGATCGCGGGTTACGGGCTAGACTGAGAGCCCTAGCCTCGCTGAGGGGTGCGCGGTTCGCAGGGAAAGGGCCGTAAATTCCGCAAATTCTTTTTGCTCGCACGGCCTCGGTCTCAAAGGGTCGCACGGCCGCCCCGCCCTCCGGCTCTGCGTCGCGTCGCCCCCCCCCCGCGCCCCGGGAGTCGCAACTCCCGCCCCCCGCCACCTCTCGCCCCTCCTCCAGCCCTCTCCCTCGGCCTCGCCTCTCGCCCCGCCCGGGACTCTCCCCACGCCGCCTCTCCGCCACCCGCCAGCCATCCCCGCCCCCGCCACCTCGGCCCTAGCGCACCCGCACCCGCACGCGTCCCTGATGACGATCGGCCGTCGATCCCGAGGGCGGCGAGACGCTTAGCTCCATAGTTAGCTCTGTGCACTCGACCGCCCTCGCCGCAGGCAAAAGAGCTCAACAGTGGGAAGAAACATTGCTCAACATCGAATCCAACACAAAACCAACTCTCTCGAATCCAGGGCGGCCCGCCTAGACCGGACGCGGAACCATCCACATCATCACTGGCTCGCGGCAGTAAGGGCACTCTCGCATCAGCTCAGAGCATGGCCCGCAAGCGCACAAGTGCCCGCACGGAACCGCAGCATGCGACTTGACTCTCGCGAAACACACGATGCACGTGGTCTCGCCCCCCATCGTGGACTCGGGGGCAGCCGGCCGCCCCGTGTCGAGGCCGGCGTCGGCTAGTGAGACGGCAGCAAACGGCTCGGTGACTGGCAGATGCTGCTCCGCCGCCTCTCCCGCCTCTGGCCCGATCAAGCGCTCGATGGCGCCGACCCGCTCCTCGAGGCTGCCCTCGGTCGCCGCGCCGAGGCTCGCCTCCAGCCGCTCGACACGCCGCGGCAAGGCCCCGCCGCCGCCGGTCGACTCGCTGCTCACCGCCTCCTCGCACCGCGACACCCGACGCACCAGCGCCTCCTCTGCATCCACCTCTGACCGGAGCAGCGCCTCTGCCAGCTCCGCATCCTCGCGCAACGCCGCCTGCTCTGCGGCACCCGCTAGCTCTGCCGCCTCGCGCTCCGCCCGCCTCGCCGACTCCTGCTCAGCAGCCAGCTGCGCCGCCCTCTCCTCCTGTGCGCGAAGCTCTGCCGCAGCCTTCGCCCTCCGCTCCTCCTCGAGCGTGCAGGCAGACGGCGCCCTCTTCGCCTCCTTGTTCTTCGCCTTGGCCTCCTTCTTGGCCGCCGTTGCCGCCGCCGCCTTTGCGCGCCGCCTCGCCTTCTCCTCCTCCGCCCTCCTGTCCGCAGCCTCCTTGTCGCGCCGCGCCGCCTCTGCCTGAGCGGCTTTGCGCGCCGCCGCGGCCGCCCGCTGCTCCTCTCGCAGCGCCTCCTCCGCCGCAAGCCTCTCCGCCTCCCTCGCCCGCAGCGTCTCCTCTGCTGCCGCGCGCTCAGCGGCCAGCTTCGCCTCCGCCTCCGCCGCAATGGCTCGCCTCTGCTTCTCCAGCGCCGCCGCATCCGCTGCCCGGCGCGCCTCGTCCGCCACTCGCTCTGCTTCTCGCTGTCTTGCCGCCTGCTCGCGCTCTCGCGCCGCCGCCGCCGCCTCCCTCTCGCGCTGCTCGCGCCGCCCCTTGGCCTCGAGCGCCTTCTCTGCCGCCTTCTCGGCCGCCTCCGCCTCCCTCAGCGCCGCTGCGTGCTCTGTGAGAGCGCGCACGCACCCGGCGTGGTCCTTTGAAAAAAACTCCTCCAAGGTGTCGGCAGTCGCAGGCTTGGCCGCCTCCTCCTTGGCGAACTGCAGCGCGGACTTGCCGTCTGCAGAGCGAGCCTTTGTATCTGCGCCAACCCGAAGTAGGCGGAGCACGATGGCGAGGCAGCCGCTGTAGGCGGCGCCCATCAGCGCGGTGCCGCCTCTGTCGCTCTTCAGGTTGATCTCCGCTCCACGCCGTATCAGCAAGTCGACCACCCGCTCGCGGCCTTTGTGGGCGGCAAACATCAGCGCGGAGTCGCCTTCGCTGCTCTGCAGGTTGATATCAGCGCCGCGCCGCATCAGTAGCTCGATCAGCCGCTCGTGGCCTTCGTCGGCGGCGTACATCAGCGCGGTGCGGCCGTTCCTGTTCTGCAGGTTGGTCTCAGCGCCGTGCCGCAGCAGCAGCTCGACCACCCGCTCGTGGCCCTGCAAGGCGGCGCCCATCAGCGCGGTGTAGCCGGTGCTGTTCTGCAGGTTGATCTCAGCGCCGTGCCGCAGCAGCAGCTCGACCACCCGCTCGTGGCCGTGGTCGGCGGCGCCCATCAGCGCAGTGCCGCAGTCGCTCCTCTGCAGGTTGATCTCTGCGCCGTGCTGCAGCAGCAGCTCGACCACCCGCTCGCGGCCTTTGTTGGCGGCGACCATCAGTGCGGTGCCGCCGCCGCTTTCCTGCAAGTTGATCTCCGCCCCGTGCCGTATCAGCAGCTCGGCCAGAATCTCGTTGCGTTGGAAAGCGGCGCTCATCAGCGCGGTGAAGCCGTCGCTCCTCTGCAGGTTGACCTCCGCGCCGTGCTGCAGCAGCAGCTCGACCACCCGCTCGTGGCCTTGGTTGGCGGCGCCCATCAGCGCGGTGACGCCGTCGCTGTTCTGCAGGTTGACCTTCGCCCCGTGCCGCATCAGCAGCTCGACCACCCGCTCGTGGCCGTTGGTGGCCATCATCAGCGCGGTGAAGCCTTTGCTGTCCTGCAGGTTGATCTCCGCGCCGTGCTGCAGCAGCAGCTCGACCATCCGCTCGTGGCCGTACTGAGCGGCGCCCATCAGCAGCGTGACGCCGCTCGCCTGGCCTCTCTTGTACGTCGCATCGGCCCGCCCGCCGCCGTCAAGCCACGCCAGCACCGCCTCCTCCTCGCCTCGCTCAGCCGCTAGCACGGCCGCGTCGGAGCAGCTCAGGGATCCTGCGCCGCTGCTAAGCTCGCGTGCCCCAGGGGGGCTGCTGCCCAGCACCCGAGCACTCACCATCGCCTGGGTTCCGGATCTTTGGGGGTCTAGCAGACCTTGCGCGCACGCGCGCCAAATTTGTTTTTCTGTCTGCAACAACAGCCCGAGGGGTGAAATGTCTTTGTTGTCTCTGTAACGAAGGGCCCGCCGCTCCGCCCACGCCGGCGATGACCCTTTCGGCAGAGCGACATCGCGAGCACCGGGCCGAGAAGGACGCAGAAGCGGTTGGATGGAGAGGCAGCCGGCTCCCCCTACTACGTGGTTAAAACCACGCGCCCCTCAGGAGCTAAGGTAGAGTGGAGCGTCCCAGACGCCTCGGTGCCTCCCACCGGCGTGAAGACCCTCCGGATCTACCGAGCTCGTCCTCCGGACACACACACACACACAGGTAGGTAGGTAGGTAGAAAGGTGAAGAACAGCCAGGCTCGGACTGGACACCAACGCGGTATGGGTGGACGCTAGACAGATGATGACGACACGCACGAGCGACACACAGACACAAACAAGCTCACAAGACACACAAACACACACACACGGCGTTGTGCGTTTACTGTGAACAGCGGCCAACAGCAGCAAGCGGGCGCCGACGACCTCCTTCTCGCGGTGATTTAGTCATTTCATGTCGTCCGTATCCCCACCCGCCGTGCCTCAGCGCAGCCTCAGCAGACGCGTCGGCAGGCTCTTCTGCTGCGGCTGCTGCAGCGGCGACCCTCTCGCGATGCAGCGGCTCGATGCTCATCTTGAGGAGTCGGCCGCCGCGCCGCAGCGCGGCAGATCCCGCCGGTCTAGGAAGAAGCTGCCGCTTTCAAAACTGGAGGGCGCGCAGCTGGACGAGGGCGACCCGGCGCCACAGCTCTGGGACGGGTCTGTCCTCTCCGAGGCAGAGGACAATGGCGAGGGCGACAACGGCGTGCCGGCGAGCGGCGCCGGCTCGTGGGACTTTGGCGTCCCGGACTTTCGTTGGCCGGCTCGGCCGAGCAGCCCCGTGCGGGACGAGAAGTCGGGCGTGAAGAGCTACGTGGACGAGTCCTCCGCCAAGGAGCTCTTCAACGTCACCCTCCGCAAGTTTGTGATCCCGGTGGTTCGCGGCGGGCTCGAGCGGCTCCTCCGCTCCTCCCTCGACTCGGAGGCGGGCCTGCAGGTTGGGATCCTCGACAACGCGTACACACTCCGCATCGGCGCAGACGCGTCCAAGAGCGAGGAGTCGGTCGGCGAGGACCTGATCCGGACCTTCGAGGTCGACGTCAAGGGCGCGAACGTTGTGCACTGGAGGCACGATGACGCCGAGACGGAGCCTTCCAGGAACCTTCCAGGAGCCTTCCAGGAGCCTTCTCCTGCTATACTTCTTAGGCACGACGACGCCGAGACGGAGCCCGCCGAGATGTGCACGGTGATGCCGCTCTCGCTGCACCATGTAGCGGACGAGGTTGTCACGCTCGACGTCGACTTTAACCTCGAGCTTACCTTCGGCGACGTGATTCACTCGCGCGTCTTCCAGCTGTGAACAGCGTCTCTTCACACCCACTGAGCTGTGAACAGGCGACGTGATCCACTCGCGCGTCTTTCAGCTGTGAACAGCGTCTCTTCACACCCACTGAGCTGTGAACAGGCGACGTGATCCACTCGCGCGTCTTCCAGCTCAAGAGCCAGAGGCGGGGGCCATATCTCCCCATATCTCCCCATATCTCCCCACATCTCCCCACATCTCGAGAGCCAGAGGCCTCTCTCCTCCCCTTCTCGGAACCTTCTAGGCGATTCCTCCCCGACCTTGGCGCGTCGTTCGGCATCAAGTTCCTGCGCCTCGCCGATTGCCGCACGCGGCTGTGGTGGTCCTTCTCCGAGTCCAAGCTGATGGTGGCCTTCCGCGCGCCACCGGACGTGAAGTGGGACATCGCCGCCCGCGTCTTTGGCCTCGAGTTGCCGAACTGGCTGGAGGACGACGTGCTCTGCCTTGGGCTGCGGCGCGTGCTCTCCTCCTCCCACCCACACACACACACACACACACACACACACACACACACACACACGCACACACACACACACACACACACACACACACACACACACACACCGCTCACCCACGCGCACCGGGCCTTGCACTTTGAATGCCGTGGGGCTCCTGTCGTTAGACGTGGAGATGCGAGGGTCGCCCCCCCTTGCCCCACCACCTCGTGTGTGTGGAGAAGTTTACCTTACCGTACCTTACCTCTCCTCCTTCAACCTCAAGGGCGAGCGGTGTGAACAGCGCCTCTTCACACCCACGCGCCACGGAGCTGTGAACAGGCGCGTGCTCTCCTCCTTCAACCTCAAGAACCCCATCGTCGTCCCCCTCGACGTGCAGGAGCAGATTAATAATAATAATAATAATAATAATAATAATAATAATAATAATAAGAAGAAGAAGAAGAACCCCATCGTCGTCCCCCTCGACGTGCAGGCGGACTGATAGCTCCCCATATCTCCCCATATCTCCCCATATCTCCCCCTCGACGTTCATGCGGACTGATTAGCAGGGGGGATGAAGGGAATTCACTATCAAACTATTAGCCTAATAACGTACCTAATTATCAACACATACCTAATAACGCTGCTATTAAGCTAGTAATTAGCATTTTTCCACGAAACTGATTGTGTAAATAAGCTAATTATTAAGCTAATAGGTGAAAAAATGCTAATTATTAGGTATGTGCTAAGGGACGGGACGGGAACTGAACCCTACACCTCGCCCCACACC